GAGGCAATGAGACTGGCACAGGATAGAGCAGGGTTTAGGGCTGTTGTACATAGGGTCGCTATGAGTCGCAAACGACTCGACGGCACATAACAACAACAACCACTACAAATGTCCATGAACTAGAAGGCTGGTGTCCACATTTCTGTGACAATTTTCTTTGTACCTAAAGTAATTTTAGATACTTTCTTGTTAATTATAAGTTAATCAGTTTGTTATAAATTCTGAAAATGAAACAGCAACAGATTTACAATTATATAAAAAATACATCCAAATGAAAACTATGAAAAGGCCATAGAGTTTGACTCAAATTCCTTAAGTAACTTCATCAACTTTCCCTTGTTAAAGCAGTAAGCATTAAACAAGTGAATAATAACCATTACAGAATTATTGTACCATAGGGACTATAAAAAGCCAGATAACATAGACGCAAAAATGATAATTCAGTTAACTTAGTTCAAAAAGAAAGCAATTTCAATCAATAATATTTTAAAATTTAGACTTGGGCTAAAATAAAGAAATAACTGAAGGAATGAAATGACGAAGCTCTTGTAACAGAAGACATATTGAGCCAGAAGCATTTTACGTGTACTGATGTGTACAGCAATGTCTTATCTTTTAATTGTAAACCTATGCTGAAAATTAATACAATGTTTTGAAAATATCATACTATTCACTTTTCCTAGCTGGATGGGGAACAGTAATTATAATTAGTAACAATGATTAGCTTTGGGGTTCTGCAAGTCAGTCATAATCCCCAGACTTAGCTGACTTTGAAATTTCTTCTACTCATTTATCAAGTACCTCCTCCTCCTGCTACTCTGAGCTGAAGATTCATCTAGCCATGGTTCCTGCTCTCCTGGAATTCTCAATCCAGACAAGGAGCAAGTCACTTAAATGTGCTGTAAGGATACTGCCGTCATAGCAGGAATCCATGAAGGTGTTGAGAGTGATCCATAACCAGGTCAAGGGAGGATGTGAAGAATGATTTTTCATTCTTGATGGAAACGCCATGGGGAGGGGAAGAGGCATATGTCTGAGAAAACAGCATGTCAAAAAGTATTAAAGAGTAAAATATGGTGAGGACAACTCAAAAGGCCTATTCAAGAAGCTCTACAATTATCTGACAAAAATAAATGATAATTCCTTTTCAGGATAATTTACTTCTGCTTTTATCTTAAAAGTAACCATCCACATTTTAGAAATGTCACACACATTTTTACTGTACCAGAATGGTAGTGTGCAGCTCTAAGATTCTCAGGAATAATTGTTCTTTCGCTTTTAACTCTGTGTTTAATAAAAAGATGTGAAAATATACTTCTTCCCTTAATAACTAATGCGATTTCTAATTCCAATTAATTTGGCAGCTAAATGAAAATTCCAACAATTTCTCTTTTAAGTAGTTGGACGTTAGTAACGGTGTTACAACTTTCTTCTTTTAGATAGTCTTAGACCCAGTTGTTTTCAGTGATTCCTGTCTTTCAAGTGTTATGATGAGTCCCCTACAAACTGGTCTTTTCCCACAGAAAACGTCATCCCTTCCCTGGAAACCTAGCCACATCCCATCCCTCTGAAATGCCTCCTGCATATAAACAGGGCACGTGCTTGTGCAAGCACACTCTCTCACACCTGCATTCCTGGACCTGTCACAGATGCAGCACAGCTGTCAGCAGGGATGACAATTTGAAGAGACTTGGAAGGGCGCCTGGACAGAAGTAAAGAAATTCGCAGTCTGACTGACAGTGACAGGCAGGGACTACTCGCACTTCTGAGTAAAGTCTGAGACAGACGCCACCGCGTTCTCCAGCGGGAGGCTTGTGTGGGCGCAGCTGGGGCAGGAGGGGGGGTGTCTCACCACTCTGCGTCCTCGGACTTACGTCTGTAACGCCGCCAGGCCCAGGAACTCTCCCGGAGGACGGGTGGGAAGGGAGTGGGGACAGGATACCACAGGACTCCCATACCCGACTCAATCCCCGCCCCGGTGAGCGTACCTGTCCCGCAGCCCGTGCTGGAGGCAGCCCAGTCTCTCGTAGTAGTCGGGAATTGCCAGTGGCGGGGACGGCGTGGAGGCCCGGCGCATGCTGCTGTAGTCACAGTGGCCGAGCTCAGCCCACGAGGCCTAAGCTGGCTGCCAGAACAGGGTTGTCCTAGGAGACGGCCCCACCATGCACTGCGGGTAAACAAGCCCCAGGCCGCAGGGAAGGTGTACGCCGCCAGCCTGGACGTCCGGGGGCGGGGCGCCAAAGAGGAGCCAGGAGCCGTGTGTGGGCGGGGCGCCAGAGACGAGCCCTGAGGCATTGAGCAAAGAGAACCTGGACCCAGAGCCTATGGGGGTGCGGGGCTGGAAAGAGGATCCCTAGGGCACAGGGTAGGCAAGGCCTAGATTAAGCTCGGGTGGGAGGGTGGGGCCCCAAAGAGGAGCCCTGGTGCGCTGGGTAGAGCGGGCTTGGGTGGGAGTCATGTATGGGCAGGGGCGGCTGGTTAGGGCGCGGTGCAGCAGCTAGCTGGTCGTGGATAAGGGCCTAGGACCCAAGGACGAAAGCTGAAGGAACAGGGCGGGGCGACGTGAGGGAGTGGGTGTTGGAGAACGTGAATGGGCGGGGCTGAGGGAACGAAATGTGTGAGATGTTCTCGGAGGTGGGCGTCTTGAATGAAAGAGGGCTACTCTGGCCACCTCAGGGTTGGGAGTGGGGAGTCCAGGGCTCAGAGATGGGAGGTGTGTTCCGGCCAAGCTTCGAGACCATGCAGGATTAAACCTTGCAAAGTTCTTTAGCCTACTAAAGAATTTCTTTAGAGAAAAGGCTTGTTATAATGTGCTGTTGAGTCGCCTGAGACTCAGTGACCCCTATGTACATTACCTCTGAAACCTGCCCTATCCTGAACCAATCTCATTGTCTCACACAGACCTAATCCTTTTTCTCCGGTCACTGAGTCAATTAATCTCATCCCAGATCTATCTTCCTCTTCTGCGTTGTCCCTCCTCCCTTCCAAGCCTAATGTCCCTCTCCAAGGACTGCTCCTTCCTGGACACGTGCTCAAATTATGTGAGATGGAGCGCCAAAATCCTTGCCTCCAGGGAGCATCCTGGTTTAACCCACTCCAGAACAGACCTGTTTGGTCTCCTGGCAGTCCATGTTCAACACTCCTCCAGCACCACCACTCAAAGACATCAATCTTCTATCATCCCTAGTTATTGTCCACTTCTTGGATGCATATCAAGTAATTGAGAAGACCATAGCCTGGATCAGGTGAACCGTATTCTCCAGCCTAACATTATTGCTCTACAGAGGGGTCCCTGATAGCAGACTTTCCCAATGAAAGTCATCTTTTGATTTCGTGCCTACCGGTACCAAGAGTGTTTATTTTAGAACTAAGCAAGCTGAAGTTATCAACAATCTCAATCTCTTCTCCATCCATCATGAAGTTGCCTGTTGGCCAAATGGTGAGAATCTTTGTTTTCTTGAATCCATATTGAATCCATACAGTCCTTGACCTTCTGCAGCAAATGCTTCAGATCCTCCTCACTTTTGGCAAGCAAGGTTGTATCATCTCTATAACACACACATTGATGAGTCTTCCTCCAATCCTGATGCCACACTTCTCATAAAGACTAGTCTCTCAAATTATCTGTTCCGCATCTAGTCAACAATTAACGTTAATACATCTTGATTACATGTTTGGTGAATTTCGGACTACAAAATTTAATGAAAAATTTTTATTTCCTCTTTGGTATTAGATGTTGGTGCATATATTTGAATAATAGTCTGATTAACAGATCTTCCTTGTATACATGGATACTATCCTATCACTCACAACTTTGTACTTCAGGATAGAACTTGAAATTGTCTTTTTTTAATATAAAAACAACACCATATCTGATTCAAAGTTGCCAAAGGCAGTCCATTTTATCTTACTAATGCCTAGAATGTCCATGTTCATGCATTCCATTTCATTTCTCACAAATTTAGTTTCCCAGCATTCATACTCTGTACATTCTATGTTCCAACTATTAAACAATGTTTGCAGCTGCTTCCCCTTATTTAGACTGACTTTCAATCTGGGCTTTACATCTAATACTTTAGCTACATGTGTTTCTCCATTGTTTATAGAGTTTCCAGAAATGGCTGGCTAATCTGTCTTTATAATCTGTCTTAATCTGGGAGCTCTGCTAAAACTTGTCCATGATTGTTCATGATGGGTGAACATTCTTACCAGTGGCAAAGCCATGACACCAGGGATATTACAGTTGATGTTAGCTGGATCATGGCTGAATGTCTACTTGTGTTTTATTCACTAGGCAAAGACTATGTGATCATAACAAATTGTGGCTAACATTGAGAAGACTGAGAATCCCGGAACACTTAATGTGCCCATGCAAAAACCCATACATAGATCAAGAAGCTGTTATCTGAACAGAGTAAAGGAATACTGCATGGTTCAAAATTTAAGAAAGATGTGTGTCTGTTTGGAACACACCCTGAAAAAATGAGAACTGAGGCACAAACAGAGACCTGTACACCAATGTTCATAGGAGCATTATTCACCATACCAAGAACATGGAAACAGCCCAGATGTCTAATCACAATCAAATGAATTGAGAAATTATGGTACATTCACATGATGGAATACTATGCAGCACACAAGAGCAATAATTTTTTAATTACTACCTAATTTGGAAGCAGGAATGACATCCTCTTCCTAACTAGCATGCCTCTGGTAGTAACTCTGTGAACTTTGATAAATGGCAATGGTTGTGGAATGGCTTCAGGCCTTTTGTTCATGGAGTTACTATGAGTTGTGCTCAACTCAACAGCAATCAACCACAACAACCACCATCTAACTTGTGAGGGACTGGGGAGCATTATACTAAGTGAACTAACTCAGTCCCATAGGGACAAATACTGTATAAGAGGGTGTGTGAGGATCCAAACGGGCTAGGGGGAGAGCAGAGAGGTGAGGACGGTGAAGACAGTGAGGAGAGGAAGGGGGGAGTGGTTAATCATAGGATCACACAATTTGATGGGTGGAGGGAAGATAGGTAAAGAAAATGGGAAGAATCTGGTATGAAAGACAATGTTCATGAACTTCGTAAGTAAACCAGTATAAAATTATAAAAAAGTATTTTAATAAAAATAAGGAAAGGTGGAGCTCTGATGTCCTAGTGGCAAGAAGCTGTGCTGCAATCCTGAAGGCGTATAGTTTGAATCCACCAGATACTCTGCTGGAGGCGCAATCTCTTCCTGTGCCAGTCAGATCTGATTCCAAGGCATATATCAAGTTTAAAAAAAAAAAAACAAAACAGTATACTTGGGGGGCAAGGGGAATAAAGAAAGGTGTTTGTCAGGACTGTATCCTTGCTGTATACTTATTCAATCTATAAGATCAAAGACAATAGACTTCAATATAGATTACATCTCAACGTCAAGAAATAAAAATTCTCATTATTGGATAAATTTGCTACATCATGAAAGATGGAGAAAAGATTGAAATTGCCATAATTTCATTTTACTTCGATCTATAATCAACACCCTTGGTACTAGCAGTCAGGATAAAGTGCAACCAGAATGCACCTTGAACACAAAGATGGCAAAGCTTCATCTCACATACTTTAGGGATATTATTGTTATTGTTGTTATTGAGTCATCTGCAGCTCTGAACCATGCCCTATCCTGAGCTACTCTCACTGACTCTGACACACCTAATCCAACTGCCACATTTATTGTGTCAATACATCTCATCTGGGGTCTTCCTCTCCTGGGATTCCAAGTATGATGTCCTTTTTCAAGGAAGAACTGGTCCCTCCTGGCCACATGCCAAAAGTATGTGAGACAGATCCTCAAAATCTTTGTCTCCAAGGAGAATCATGGATTCACCCTCTCCAAGACAGACCAATATGTTCTGTTGGCGATCCATGGTATGTTTAATACTCTTCTCCAGTACCACAACTCAATGGCATCAATTCTTCTTCTGTCATCGTTAGTCATTCCCCAGCTCACTGATGCATAGCATGTAATTGCGAAGACCATGACATGGGACAGGCACACCTTAGTCTACAGACTGACATCATTGCTGCTCAGCACTCTGGAGAGGTCCCTGACAACAGACATCCTCAATGCAATTTGTCTTTTCATTTTCTAACTGCTGGTGCCAAGAGTGTTGATTGTGGAGCCCAGCAAGCTAAAATTGTTAACAACCTCAATCTATTCTCCATTTATTATGGCATTTTGTTGTTGTTGTTGTTGTTGTTGTTGTTGTTCTGTGCCATCGAGTCATTTGCGACTCATAGCAACCCTATGTACAAGAGCTCTAAACGCCGTTCTATCCTGTGCCAACCTCGCTATCTCACACACATTCCTTCCCACCACTCCACTCACAGAATTGATCCGTCTCATCGAGGGTCTTCCTCTCATGCGCCGTCCCTCCGCTTTCCCAAACATGATGTCCCTCTCCAAGGGCCAGTCCCTCCTTGCAACATTCCCAAAGTATGTCAGATGAAGCTTCAGAATCCTAGCAGTCCATGGTATATTCAACATTGTTCTCCAGCACCACAACTCAAAGGCATCAATTCTTTTTCTATCATCCCTATTCACTGTCCAACTCTCCGATGCTTAGCACGTAATTGCAAAGACTATAGCCTGGATCAGGCGCACATTAGTCTCCAGCCTGACATCGTTGCTCTTCAGTACTCTTGAGAGGTTCCTCACAGCTGACTTTCCCAATGCAATTCATCTCCTGATTTCCTGGCTGCTGTTACCAAGAGTGCTGACTGTGGAACCAAGTAAAC